ATCTAGAAATACTCTTACAGCAAATACGCTATGTTTTAGTATATTATAAATTTCTTCGGTTTTTCGACATTAACAATTTCATTTTCACGACGGTACATACAAATTGGTAAATCTCAATACATTCACTTATGAATGTTTATGTTTTCTTCACGAAACTTCTCGTTTATTGATGGCACTCCTGACGGGAAAAGAATGTGACTTGAATCGATTTGATTCATTCTATTTCTTTGGTGAATGATACAATTTATTCCGCAAATTGTTTCGTATTATGATCATCTCAGGCAAATTGAAGTGCAAATCTGACATTTATTCGATATATAATAGTCTTTTCTTTTCTTTTCTCAAGGAGAATTTCCCATCTGGGAGAGAGCATGCAGGGCTTCCTTCAAGTATTCCATATTCGATTCTATTTTCGGCCATTACTACCCAGAAAATATCAAGCATAGTAAGCCCAGGATATAGAACTTCATTTTGTTTGCTTTTAATGCTGAAGAAGCGTTGACTTTTTCCTTTGCTTTCCTTCTAGTCACTCATACAGAAAAGAATTTGGATAACTTCTAAGCCTTAATGACAATCCAACATAGTATATCCAAACTAGTATATTACTGCACATTTTTACTATGATTCTTTGTACTTCTCTCTATCACGGAATTTCTTCGTCTTTACTCGTGACAGAACATGTTGCAGTTCAAAAACAATGATGTTTTTGAAATTTTTGATGAAAATATTATTAGGAGAGAAATTACGCTTTTCAAACATAGATTTATGTATGAAATGTATCAATAAAGCAAAGAGGACAAACATGGAACCAATTTGGGAAAAGCAATTTCGATACTCCTGACCTCCAGCAGTGATCGGCAGTTTTCCATATGAATAATTTCCTGTTCCATTATTTTAATAGGACCAAGCTTTATGTGAATAAAAATAACAATTTTATGTGATACGGTCCGCAAACACAACAAGATAAGCTTCACAACCTTCTATTTTCTTTTTAAAAATTAATCTGAAATATTCTCCTAAAAAAATTTGTCCAATCAAGACAAAAGAACTGACTCAGAAAAACCTGATTTAAGTGAACTCTAAAAAAAAAATCTAGCAAAATTTAAATTTTAGCAATAAAAAATTCCGACAAAACTCCTTCTTCAAAATTCTTCATGGTGATTTGAAAAGAGAACCATGTCGAACACAACCATCGTAGGTATGCAACAAATTGAAAAAGACTTTCCTCATACGAATATTAAGAGGCGGTTTCACCTGTTTCTGCTGAAATTTGTTTATACTCAAAAAACTAATTAGTCCGAACTTCTTGCATTCCTGATTCATATTCCAGCAACAAATGGACACAGCAAGTGAACTTTGGCATGTTGATCTTTCCCGGTTGTTAATGCAAACTATAGACTCAGTTTTATTCAATCTGTCAACATTGCTCAGCCTATTTAATGAGTTGAAGGCATGTTAGACTTGTCACTTATAAGCAGAATCATATAATAATGAATTTTCAAAGGCAGGATTGCTTCTAATGCTTCTAATAATAACTGTTTGTTGGTTTAAGCAAATAACTTAGAAAGTGTATAAAATTTTTATCGTATTTGATCCAAAATCCTTTGCATTTGTCATACTGAAAATATCTTTCGAAACAATGTGTTGGTTTTGATAAAAGTTGTCGCAATCATTCCCAACACTTCTTATTGAGTTTCGAGAAATTGAAGCGGCAAAGACAATCGATCTCATGATTTGAAGAACATCTTGAAAAATATAAGATAAAAGATACTCCATCTTTTAGCAGTTAGTATTTTTAGACGACTGCATGGATCATCCACAGTACTTCTTGCCTAATACAATTTCCCACCAATAGCAATTCTAGGAACTTTCAATAATTTCAACATGAATACAATTACGCATTTGTCTTGTATTTAGCTGCAGCATGTATGAAGCAGTTGAACATGTCTATACGATATCGCTAACTGCCAAATTATACATCCTTTATTGAGAAAATTCAGTGGACATTATCCATATTTGTGATAGAGAACATTGATATGCATGTGTGTGTATGTGTGCATGTATCTGTATCTGCGCGTACAAATGGATGCAGAAAAAGGACTATTGTTGAATGCGACATGTGAAGAGTGTAATTATTGCATTAAGAGATTTTCAATTATATTTCAAGAACAAAAAAAGTAAATCTTGTTAAATTGTTCCACAAAGGTGATGCAGAATCAAACAAATTGATATAAAATTAAATTGAAAAAGGAATAAAAAGCTTAAAGAGTGAGGAAAAGGATGTAAAAATACTTCAAAAACAATAATGAAGTGGTATTCGTAGCAGTAACAAATGAAAAGTGTACGTGAATGACCGTGCATGGATGGCGTGTATGCAATAGAGTAATGCCGCAAATATAAGCAAGGAAAGAATCGAATCGTTTTCCTTTAACCAGAGTATTCCTCGGATTTCCCACAGTTCCAAAGAATGATAGAAAATTTTGCAGCTATATTTGCTGGTGTACAAATTCCAAAAAAAAAGCAGATCCAAACAATTATATGCAAACTTATACAAACAAACTAACTCCAGGCAATCTAACAGTTTGTCGTCATTAGCAGCTGCAACAGCAAAACTTTTCATTTAAAAAAAAAATCTAAAATTAATGAAGTGACGAATACGACATTTATGAGGTCTTGTCGAAATCGATTTGCTCGGCAAATAAGAAACTCAAATGAATAGATCAAAATTTTTTATGTGTGCACATATAAACGCCTTTTACAAACGTGCCAATGTAATTCTCAAAGAAGCAGGAAAAACTGCTATGTTAAAAGAGACACAAAAAAGGTAACCTGCATATGGAACAATAAAAGAAACTATATAAATTAGCAGGTGTAAACTTGCAATTTTATTTCTTTGACTGTTGAATACGGTGATCGCGGTGAATCGTGTGCATAAAAATTGAAATTTGAAAAGAAAGTAGTGGGAAATAGTAGCAGTGGATTTACTGATAACCTGAAAAGATTTCAGGATCCCAGTTCATAGATACCGTATGGGTCCTTAATTTTTCCGAAAAAAACAGTGAAAAATAAGAAACTATTACAAGCTTTAAAACATTCCCGGAACAAATAAATAATTTGGAAATTTACAGTAAGCTCCAGTACCTTTTCGAACGAAGTGACCACAATAATGTATTAAACGCTGGAATGGGAAAATCATTCGGTATGAAATTAATCTAGAAATGAGGTAAATCTTTAAAATACCAACATGAGAAATTAGTATACAAACAATATAAATTGCGATAGCAAAAACTGTTTATAACTGAAGGTGAAAGGAAAAAGACTTAGACCAAAGTCAGGTAGTACAGAATCTTTTAAAAATAAATAGGCCCTAACTTCGTTTCTTTCTTTTCAATGTAATATATCAGATTAGGATGCAAAAAAAAAACAGAAGTGCTCGAGTGTCGGTGTGCGCTTCAACTACCACCTACTGTGAAGATTGCAGTGCATGGATGGTGGAAAACTACAAGAATTACATCAGTTTGGTAACATTGAAAGCGAAGCTTCTTTGATTTACCGATTTCACTGTTCACCAGCCTCCCAGACTTGTCCACCGAATTTCTTACCTGCTCTGCAAGTTTGTTTCTTATTTGCTTTTATCACTGGTTGCCCCAAAAGCCGGGTTATCTGTTGGAAACACTGCAGTTGTGGAGTGTACTCTCTTTTCAAATTTTTTCAAATATATAAAATGGCAGTTTATTGTCCAAGGTAAATGTCATATGCCGATAGTGACAGCACGCATAAAAATACAGCTGAAAGACTTCTGAGCAAAAATATCATCGGAAAGATCTTAAAAAATTGAAATCCTCGAGCCAATAACACACAAACAATTCGCCGAGACCCGTATTCAAGCAAGCAAAAAAAGAAAAAATTAGTGAATAGTCGCAAAACAAGGTAACTGAGTTGAATTTTTTTTGTAAAGAGACCAATATACAATGTGTAAACAAAAAAAAGATAATCATACAAGTAGTACAAACAAAAATTAGAAATTCTTCGAGAAATCAGATCCAGAAAATCTAATAAAATCCAAAGAAATGTGCTGAGCGCAACATGATCCAACAAATCGAGACAAAGTTCGCCTGAGCACTTACGGGAACCAGGCTGACTGATTCCAAAGTGAATATAAACTGAAGCGCATAAATTTTTTATGCACTTCATTCTAAGCCAAAAATGATAACCCAAAAGGTATGAAAAGCAAGGAAAGGAGAAACGTTTTATCCATTTCTCAGAAGTAATTCAACAGATTAAAGACATTCCTTCTATACATTTTTTTAAACGCTAAACTCCTTGATTTGAGTCTGATTTCATTAAGCGTGTCATTTAATACAATTAAGGAATGATTCTGTGAATAAAACAATGAAATGTTTTTGAGAAATAAACAACAATATTCAGTCATATCTTCTATAAAATTTTAAAAATGAATAAAAAATTTCAAACACCATACAGGGAATTTCGAGAATTCCTGGAACTACAAAGACAACCAAACAATCGCGACTTTTAATTTTCTATGTTTAAGAAATCCTACAAATCCTTAAACAGAGAAACAAGTGCTCATATTTCCCTTTATCTCAACTTATTTACCATTATTTGAAAAAATACAAGAATCAAGACAAAGCACAATTATAAATATATGAATTCAAAAGACAAAAAAACAGAGGAATGCACAATGTTTGGTCAATTTATTCGATGTAACTTACAACTTACAAAAATTAATAATCATTACAATCAAAATAAAAAGACAACAATGCAAACAGCTCAAGCAATGCTGTTCGTATTATGTTTTATAATTATTATTGCCATTACTATTGTTGAGAGAGTGTGTAAAACCAAGAAAATAGGGAACAACAGACATTCAAGAGGATGAAAGGGTAAAAAAGCAGCTTGAGATCGTGAAGATCCAAGTATATTGACCGGTTCCAAACGACCGAAGAATCCCGAGATTGCTGATAGTTGGAAAAAAGGAACCGATACAAGCAATCAACCACCAGCAAGCAAGACTTCTTAATCGATTCGCAGGAAGAGAAGTAATACAAGGGATAGACTCCTATCAGCTACCAAAGTTTTTCGAATTTAAGACAAATCATAATAATGCATCGGAAAATTTATCACATTACCGCGAAATTTTAATAGAACGCTAAGGGGTCTAATATGGACATATTACTCCTACTTGAATAAAATATGAAATCAAAATGCAAAGTACACAAATTGACATTCATATAAACAACCCACTGCGTTCTTTTTCTTTTTCCTTTTTTTTTTTTGAAAATAACGAACCCATCAAATTCTATTTCAATTAAGCACAATACAGCGAGTTCAATACACACGAAAATTTTTTTTGTCGCAGAAAATATATAAGAGAAGATGTAGCAGCAGTTTCAGGAAGAAAGCTGAATGCAATCTTATTTCTTCTGGAAATTTTTCCGCAGTAAATAGAAAATTCGTTTGAAAAAAATGCGAACTCTCTCAAAACTCAATTCTAATCTACTTTTGAATGCAATTTTACTTCTTCTGGATTTTCAAACCTATCCTCCAAGACTTATACTTTAAAAGGAAAACGAAGAAACAAAGCAACAAAACATGACTCACCGAAACTATAGAATCATTTCGATGAGTTACACCCTTCTTAGTTCGTTTGCAAAATGAAAAATTTAATAATATGAAAATCTACAACATACTGAAAGATCGCCCAAGAGATCAAAGCCCTGAGTATATTTGTCTATTGATGCTCCATCCTTCTGAAACTGCTCAATAGATAAAAGATAGTCATTGAGTTTTTCCTCTTTGATACTCCCCTATCTCATGAAATATTCCGTGACTTTTAAGTTATTGAAAGGGAAGACAAAAATATTAACTATTGATAGTGCCCAATTATCCAATACAGCAAATCCCTTCATGGCGAAATGACACGGATATGCAATGATCCTTTGAAAGAGGCTCAAAAACTAATCATGCTCATCCTGGAATTTAAATTTATCGTAATATACTGACCAACCATAGACATAAATGTTGGCAATAGCAGGAAAGATTAGAAAAAGCTAATTTTCTGGGAATAATTAAGTATGACTAAACCTCAACCTAAAAGACAGGAAAATAGGAAAATATTTACCATTGGCCGGTGATGTCTCCCATTCGATTTCGTGCATATTCGATTCGAATACCACCACGATGTGAACTCGAAATACGACAACCCTGGAGAGCATTCATCACTAGCGTTGCCTGTCGCACATCTCGAAATTCCACGAACGCTACGGTTGTGTCATTCCTGGTATGCAATCGTAATCGTGTAAATCCGGGATAAGCACAAAAAACCTAAAAAAGTGGAAATCTTTATCCATTTAGATTGACTAATTGCGTACTCATAACAAGTCTTACCGCGCCGGTCTATCGAAATCACGTTTTAGTGAAGTGATAATGAAACGAAAACTCAACTGAATTAGATGATCCTTGAATTTATTTGAAAATTTGAATTCGCTTCAGTAAAAAATTAATGTATTTTGATTTTAGCTGCAATGAATTCGTTCAGTTTTTCTTGAGAAGATTTCGAAACATGTATATTGAAAATCCTTTAAAGTACCTTTCCTGAATTTTATTCCAGTGAATGCATTCATAATTTTGTCGCGTTATTTCAAAAATTATAAGAAACACTTCAGTCTGCTAATTTCCACATGATTTTTTTTCAGTTTTTGATAGAAAAAGATAAAAAACATTGACAGAGAGAAATTTAAGGATATCGAGGGAATTTCTCTAATTTTCTAAACAACAAATTCCTATGAATTTGTTTTTTAAAAAAGAGTGCGAGAACTACTTCAATTTCAGAACATTACTTCAATTTGTCAAGTGAGTTCTTAGAGTCTCTGCACAACAAACTTCACTATTCCGTAAACTATGATTAGATTTACTTCTTCTGGTCTCATATCCGCTAAAGGCTACTCGAGCTTACTATATGAAAGAAAATGGAGACTTAATTTTTAGGACTTTTTGCGACACTTCTCTCAGTGAGCATAGGAAAAAATAAGTCAAGGAAAATAAAAAAGGAGTAAGACCAGTCCTTTTTTTTGGAAAAGGTAAGATAAAATGGAAAATGCTTCGGACTTAGATCGATTTTTAGTAAACGTCAAGGAAATCGTGGGAGCGTGCGCGTGTGGAGAACACATGCATAATTTGCCATAAAAAGCAATTACCATTGCTTCAAACTGTCAGCGGCTTTGTTTCTATGATTAGGCAGGCAGCAAGTAAATGAATGACCGGTTCCTGTGATTTGTGGCTGGTTCATGATGTAATTGAAGTGATAATGAATGTGTAAAATTATTTCCTAAACTATTTGTTATATTTTGTTATACTTGTTTCTCTCTCTCATGCTCTATTTTCTTTTATGATTATAAGACTTTAAATTGCCGTCTTTACTCTTATTTTCCTATTGTTCACTTCTGAATGCAAATTATTATCTACAGCAAAGCAAAGAGTTTGCCTCAAAAAAGTAACACCTCAAAATGACAATTCTCGAAAACAAAAAAGAGAAACATTGTATTTAATCGGTGACCAAGCTCGGTTACAAATACAGTTATCAAAGCATTCCTTTTATAATTTTTCCTAGCTTTCTTCTCAGATGTTCAGTTTTCTATCAGATTAATACGGCCTACAATTTCACTATCGTACTGATTAATGCTTTTCAAAGACTGAATCTACATATATCACATACCATCCATAAAATTCTACAATACCATTGACAGCATAATATATATATGCCTGTATAATGAATACCTTCCCAGTCTTTGCTAATTTTCTCTTGTAAAACTATACATAAATACTCATCCATTTTCCGTGATCGACAAAATTTTTCAAGTTAATGATGACATCATCATCATTCTGCCATGCATCTAAAGTGTTCGGCATGACAGCGAATGGTTCGAGAGTATCTCTATCATTGTATCTTTGCACTCATTATTTTCAAGAATTACACAAGATCCCAAAATAATGGACTGACTAGTTAATGGTTATTTTATATGATACAAGCTGAAAATTTTGGTAAAAAATTCACAAAAAAAAATTTACACTAAAAACTGTTAAGATTTAATTAAATTAAACAAAATAAAAGATCAATTTTGGCATCCACAGTGAATGTGTCCTACAGATATTCACTGTGCGCACCAAATGAATGTATAACAATATGATTCCAGTCCATCTTGGTATAGCCTAACTAGTAGCACTCGTAACTAGTAGCACTACGTGTGGTGAAGTTATCCATCACTATTATGTTATCAATGTCAGTGAAGAAAACGATAGAGCGGGAAGTGTAAAACAAACTCACAGCTTTCAATTCATCTTCTGTGATTCCATCTCCCAAATTGGCTACAAATAGTGTGGAGCATGCTGGTGATACTGCTGCTGTAGCCTTTGTAACTGCATTTGCCGATGTTACAGCTACAGCATTCAGTTGTGCAGCGGCAACATGTTGCGTAGCAGCTGTTAATTGGGCAACTGCAGCATTTGGTTGCAAAAAAGGTGTTGAAGAAACATTGGCAGCTGCAATGGAAGGCAATGGCAAACCCGCAGCAATTGCAGCTGCAGCGGGGGGTAATAGAAACGGTGGTTGAGAAGCTGCTGCAGCAGCTGCTGCTGCAGCAGCAGCTGCAAACTGCGGTACTGAATTGAGAAGGAAATGATTTTCGTTGAGAATATGGGCTAGCTGTGGATCACTGATACATGCCGCACTGAATAAATCCTGTCGGTGAGATGTCGGAGCAGATAATTGTGGCGGAGGTGGTGGTGCAAAAATTGACTGTGGCGGCTGTGCTGCCGACGCTGCAACGGCTGCAGCTGCAGCCTGAAGCACACCTGCAGGAAAAGGTGCCGCGGTAACGGAGGTTGGCGGTGGGAGAACTGCTAATGGTGGCGAGATCTGCTTAGGTTTCGGTACCTTCGTATTACTTTTTGCCTTTTCAAGACGAATTTTATGACCAGTAGTAGGGTCAAAAAGTACACTCTGCAAGGTTTTCATGGCAATATCGGCATCCTCGGCACTAGAAAAAGTGACAAAACCAACAGGCGATGCAATACCGCCATCCTTTGATTGCGTTATTCGGAGCAGTGAATTTTCGTAGCCACGGCAGGATCGGAAAAGGAGGTAAAGCTCGCGCTGTTTGGCATCCATCGGCAAGCCAGAAACGAACAGGGTACGTACTGGCTCACTCCCAGCAACATTAGGCACTATCCGCGTAGATAACGCTGAACTGGTATTACCACTTTCAATCGATTCAAGTGATTCGGTGCCCGCCAATTTGCCGTTCTCCATTTTCGGAGACGGACCCCCAGACGGTGAATGTGATCGCTTCAGATTTACTTTTTTTTTGAAGCAAGCTTTTCAAAAACAAATTACTGAGATATGACGTGGTAACAAGACAATTATAGATGTTTGAGTGAATCTCCCTTCTCGGCAAGCCTGAAAAAAGTTTTATCAGAGTTACATAATGTTAAGCTAATGATAGCGACAGCGAATGAACGAAACGGGTCATAAAAAAGAGCTTTCTCTTTCACAGATAAAACGACAAAATTCTGCAAAAAGAAAGAATTCCTCATAGTGTAACATCGTCCTATGGTAAATCACTATTCACGCGAGCGGTGTCAGTTAGTCTGAATCAACATAGCACAGTGTGTGATAGAAGCCGGTTAATTCACTTTTCCATTTTTGAAGCCAAAAATTACGGGCAAGATTGTTAATGTAAAATGCAACGGAATCAATCTTCGCAGGTCAAAAATCATCGTAAAGGTATTTAGCTGTCACTTCCAGTAATGAAAATGAGTTAAAAATGCCATGAAACTAGAGGGCTTTACCCAATCATCAATGCCGTCAAGGTCGCAGTCTTTAATGAACGTCTATCTAGTCTTACGACGACAGCTAATCGTGAGGCATCCAAAAAGCGATAGTTAACATACTACCTATATCCTCCTTCACCCTGTAAGACTCCAGTGGTGTTTTACATATACACACACACACAAACCTTGATAGGAACATTCACCGGATGCTGTGCATTTATATATATAGTGCTAAAGTGCTGTGCATGGCAGGTGTTTCGATGGTCAATTGTATAACCCTACCCCTAATTGCTCAATTTCGTACACATCCGTATAACATACACACATATACATACACACATACACATACATATATATATACATGTATATATGCACACACACACACACACACACACACACACACACACACAACACATATATGTACTACGATATATATATATATATATATATATA